TACATATATATATACCTGCTCTTGTTTGTCTAGCCTTTTTTATATATATGTGTACTCCTGCTTGTGAACTGGCCTTGTGGCCTTGAACTTGTGCTCGGAATGTGTGGTGACTTTGTGATCCACCCTGAGCTTGTTTTTGCTTTGCTTTGCTTGACTGGTCTTGTGACCCCTTGTTCTCCCCCACTTTGCCTATGGGGGTGTGTCAGATTTATATGACATAGCTACTGTAGGCTAGAGTGGGGTAGCACATATGGGGTACAGTTTTCTAGGGTTTGCTTCTTGTACCCAACTTTCACTTAGTCATTCTCATTCCTGTTTTTCTTGATTCACAGGTCGGCGGTCGTGGGTGGTGCCGATCGCTCCGTGCCGAATGATTTGTTCGGCACGCGTCGTCGTGTTTCGGGTTGATAATATACGCTTGGATTTTTTCCCCTTCGGTCAGGTCGGTAATTCGGTTGAAGATGCTCTCCATCTGCTGCGTGTACTGTGTTACACTGCCGAACTGTTTATGCCGATGAATCTGCTGTCGCGCCATGTAGCTGGAGTTGATTGGTTCAAAACGTTGAATTAAAGCTTCCCGAAACTGCGTCCATGACCCCTCGCCTCGGATCTCGTTGCTATTGTAAATCGATTCGAGCGCCGGGCCTCGCAATAGCGTCGCTGCGAGCCGAATCCGCATTGCATCGTGTATTGGGGTCGTACAGCCAACGGTCTCGAAGTAAATTTCAAGGGTCGCAATGAATTGTCGGACGTCGTTGTCTCTCGCATTTGGATTGAACTTTTCCGGTAGCCTTGGACGTGCCGCCTCAAGATCCACTGTAGCCGCTGCCGCTGCTGCTGGGTGAAGTGTCAGTGTCGCCGCTGCTGCTGCTGGCGACGCTGCTGCATTCGCTGCTGCGAATGCATTCGCTGCTGCTGCAAGAAGCTCCTCTATTCACTAGAGTGCCGCTCGCGTCTGATTCAGGCCGGTGTGTAACTCCGTATTTTTTCGTACGGAATTATCACCATTTTCCTCCATTTGGCGATTTACAGGAAGATTTGCGACGGAAATAATTGAATTTTAGGCGCTGGTAAACTTACAGCGAATCGAATCGACTGTAGAAATGACGAGCGCTCTTTCTGTTGGTCGCGTAATTCTCCCAACACTGAAATTCGCGTCAGATCTCGAACGTTGAGATGAAAGTCGATTTGGCGGTCGAAATTCCAACCCCTTTCGGCAAAATTCTTAGGGTCGTTGAGAATCGAATCGATCTGACGGTCGAAATTCCAACTTTTTTGCCTTTGGACCTGAGGAGTGTTCGAAAACCGGTTCGAGGGGGGCGTTAAAAAATAGCGCGGAACTGGTTTACGTACCCGAAATCGGCGCTTTTCGTCGTCGCCCCCGCGGTTTTAAAATGTAGGTTTTAGCGATCGAAAAACTTCGCGAGAAAACAAGCTCTGATTACCAAGTGTGAGGATCTAGGATCGAGCCCAGGAAAGAGAGTTTGAATTGAATGATTCACCTGGGTACAACACAAGGCTATATATAGGCTTGACACAAGGCCGGTTACCGAGGTGTTACGCGAATGTTCTGAGGGTCACGAAGCGTACCGAACAGAACCTTCCCGAACTCGGTAGAAATAAAATCGGTGAAAACCGAATAGGCTTGAGTTCGGTACACGTAACCTGGTTTGGTGCTATAACTATAATAAAATATAGGAATGCACCTAACCTAGGAAATCAAGCATATCTATGCATGATAAAATAAACCCAATCTAGATATAGCATAATAAAGTCCAGGCAAGCTAGCAAGGGCAGCATAAGCTGTCGTACTCTCACATGTATGCATTGACTGTTAGTGCTGAGGGTGACTGTTACCTCTGTATGCCTCGCGACCCAGGTATAAAGGCTGCTGCTCTAAGTGCTAGTGAGTCTGCTCTCTCTGGTACAGCGCCTGCTGAGGCCTTGCACACCTTCATGCTTGATTCAGGTGCTTCCCGCTGTTTCTTTCGTGACAGTACCACAGTCACACCACTCCCTGCACCAATTGCTGTCAGACTGGCTGACCCCTCAAGGGGTTCTGTTCTTGCCCGTTCCTCCACTGTTCTCCCGTGTCCGGCGGTTCCGTCCTGCTCACTCTCAGGTCTTCACCTCCATTCGTTCTCTATGAACTTGGTGAGTACCGCTGCTCTTCAGGATGCGATGGTCACTACCACCACTCCTAGGGGTCAGCGTGTGTCGATCTGCACGTATACATGGACGGGCCGTCACCTGGCCATGTTCACTCGTCGGCCTCGGTCGAGTCTGTACATACTGACTACTGAGCTTCCTTAGGTAGCTGCGTCAGCATCCGCGTTGCATCAGCTTGCCGCGCCCTGCTCGTGTCGAGCCCTGTCGCACCACACTCTCCTTTGGCACCACCGCCTTGGTCACCCCTCCCTGCCACGCCTCCGTAGCATGCACTCCCGTCTCCTTGTCTCTGGTTTTCCCAGGTCTCTGCCTCCCCTCCCACCCTCGCCTGCCCCTCCCTACCTTCCCTGTGTCCAGGGGCGGCAGCGCGCCGCTCCTTATTCCTCCTCGTTTTCCCCCAACGACTGCTCCTCTGCAGACTCTCCACATGGACGTGTGGGGCCCAGCCCGCGTCCGTGGACAGGGCCGCGAGCGATAGTTTCTGCTGGTTGTTGACGACTACTCGCGTTACACCACAGTCTTCCCCTTGCGCAGCAAGGAAGAGGTCCCTGATGTTTTGATCCCTTGGATCCGCGCTGTCCGTCTCCAGCTCCGCGAGCGGTTCGACACGGACCTTCCTGTCCTGCGTCTGCACTCTGATAGAGGTGGTAAGTTTTCCTCCGACCTCTTTCGGGACTTTTGTCATGGGGAGGGCATCCTCTAGTCGTTCACGCTTCCGGCCTCTCCGCTGCAGAATGGGGTTGCTGAGCGTCGCATTGGCTTAGTCCTTGCCGGAGACCTCGCTGACACTGCGTTGGATGGGAGAGGTTGGCGATGCGTCCGTGTTCCGGGTCTGGGGATGTCGTGCCTTTGTCCGCGATACCTCCTCGGACAAGCTCTCCTCCCACGCCATTCCCTGCATCTTCCTTGGCTTCCCCCTTGACGCGCCTGGGTGGCAGTTTTACCACCCCACCACGCACCGTGTCTTGCCCTCTCAGGACGTCACGTTTGACGAGTCGGTTCCCTTTCACCGTCTCTTCCCCTACCGCACTGCCCCTCTCCCTCCCCCATCACTCTTCCTCGCACCAGGTCATCCTTCGGTAGACCCCCTCCCCCCTCAGGGTCCTGCTCCCTCAGGTGTGTCCCAGGTAGCCCCTGTCCAGCCTATCGAGGTAGCTGTCGACTCTGGTGCTGCTAGGGGTGCTGCGCCTGGGGGTGCTGAGCCTGAGCGTTCAGAGCGTGGGTGTGTTGAGCCTGGGGTTGTTGAGTATGAGGGTGCGGAGCCAGGGGGTGCTGAGCCTGAGCGTGTAGAGCCTTGGGGTGCTGAGCCTGGGGTTGCTGAGTCTGAGGGTGCGGAGCTTGGGGGTGCTGAGCGTGAGCGTGCTGAGCTTGGGAGTGTTGAGCCTGAGCGTCCTGAGCCTGGAGGTACTTTGTCTACTGGAGGTGCTCCGTGTGCCTTGTCAGGCGGGAGCCTCTCTCTCCACCGTAGCTGCGTGAGTGGTTTGCTCAGGTGCTAGAGCCTTCGGAGTGGTGCTGCTGGAGCCGGGGGCCCTACCGCTGGAGGCCCTGGAGCTGGAGGCACTGGACCTGCTGGGCCTGGAGGTGCTGGAGCTGCTGGTCCAGGAGGTGCTTGAGCTGCTGGTCCTGGAGGTGCTGGAGCCGCTGGTCCCGGAGGTGCTCGGTACTGGAGCTGCTGGAGCTGGAGGTGCTGCAGGCGCTGGAGCTGGAGGCGCTGTTGCTAGAGGTAGCGGAGATACTGGAGCTGCTGGAGCTCGAGGTGCTGCAGGAGTTAGAGCTGGAGGCGCTGGAGTTGGAGCTGCTGGAGGTACTGGAGCCGCTGGTCCTGGCGGTGCTCGTATTGGAGGTACTGGAGCTGCTGGAGCTTGTGGTGCTGCAGGCGTTGGAGCTGGAGACCCTTGGGCTGGAGAACCCAGAGCTGGAGGCGCTGGCCCTTGGGATGCTGGTGCTGTTGGTGCTGGTTTTGGAGGCACTGAGCGGCCGCGACCGTACTTCGTCCACTGCTTCAGCAGGCTCTTGGTCTCCCGTCTTCAGCCGCAGTTATATCCAGCCTCCCCAGTGCCTGCTCCTTCTCCTTACATTGAGCAGACCGGAGGTCTTACAGAGCGTCGTGAGCCTGCGTCTCGTCCTGCCTCGCCTGTTTGTGATGTTCGCAGTGGTCGTCGTGTTCCGCGTCAGCGTCCTCTTCCTTTCCCCGGCACGCACCATATGGCACTTTGTCCTTCCTCTGTTCAACAACGTGTCCCCCTGCCGTCTCCTCCTGCGTCCTTGCTTGCTGACGGACCGGACTCCGAGTCTAACTTACTTTGTGCTGCTAGTCCTACTGTCACACGTCTTCTGGCCACTGTTGTCACTGACCCTGAGTTTGAGTCCGCTACTGCGTCTGCCTAGTTGCTGAGCTTGTTGACTTTGCTGCCGCCTGTCGTCTTGTTAAAGTTATATTTAATATCTATCCTGCTTGCTGTAGTTATTTTAGTGTAGTTAAAGTTATTTTAGTGCTTGCTTCCTTGTTTGGTGGTGCACCTTCTTTGTTTCTTTGCTATATGTTCTTGCAAACCTATAGTGAAGCGCATCATTCTCGATATTCTCCTTGGCACAACTCTCTCGACTCCATCTTGGCCTAGGTTACTAAGCCTAGGCCTACTAGTTAAACCCGTTCGCTAGTTAAGACGCTATCATGACATGGTATTGAGCTTGTAACATCCTGACCTAATAATGGGCCCACCAGTTGGCGCACTCGTCATGGCGGCCCGTCACGTCCTTAGTTGCGACCTTAGTGACGGGCGCCACGGCGAGTACGTTCGCGGCCGTCCCGTCGCATCGCGGCGCTCATCATGACGGCCGCGGCGGACGCTATGGCGAACGCCAGCGGACCCGCCAGCAACCTGCGGCGAAATCGCCAGCGGCCCGCCAACGAAATCGCCAGAGCGTTCGCCCACGCACCTGCGACCCTGCCGTCGGACCCGCCGACGAGCACGCCAGCCAGCTCGCCAACCGACGCACCCGCCAGCTTGCCCACCGACGCACCCGCCAGCTCGCCAACCGACGCGCCAGCTGGACACGCCGAGGCCGCCTGCACTGGAGCCTGCGCACCCAGTCCGCGCAACCCATCTGCGCAACCCGCCCGCTCGCCCGCCCCCTGCCCTCTCCCCCACCGTCGCGACTGTTCGCAGGTGCAGCGGCGGTCGCTTTGGGGGGGAGAGGGAGGAGGGGAAGGGAGTGGCGGCGGAGCACTGTGGGGGGGAGGCGAAAAGGGGAAAAGGGGTGACGGCGGGACGTCCGCCAGCATCAGCACCAGCACTGACACCAGGCACCCGCACCAGCGCCAGCCGCCAGCAGCTACACCGCCAGCAGAGAGACCCCGCCGGCAGCTTCACCGCCAGCAGAGAGACCCCGCCAACAGCTACACCGCCAGCAGAGACCCCGCCAGCAGCTACTCCGCCAGAAGAGGCCCCGCCAGTAGCTACACCGCCAGAAGAGGCCCCGCCAGCAGCTACACCGCCAGCAGAGACCCCGCCAGCAGCTACACCGCCAGCAGAGGCCCCGCCAGCAGCTACACCGCCAGCAGAGACCCCGCCAGCAGCAACACCGCCACCAGAGAGACCCCACCAGCAGCTACACCGCCAGCAGAGACCCCGCCAGCAGCTACATTGCCAGCAGAGACCTCTGCCAGTGTCGCCGTGAGATGGAGCAGAACTGCCGCCTCTTCTTCCTCTCGATCCCACTCACTTCTGCCGTTAGGGGGGAGAGGGGGGGGCTGAGGGGGTGGTGGTAAGGATTCTGTAGGGACTGCCGTGGGTGGGGCAGGGGTGTGGAGGAAGAAAGGGGAGAAGGGGGTGCGGTCCCAAGGGGCGGCTGTTATGGGGGGTGAGGTTAAGAGGGGTGGTTGAGTGGGTGTGGGGATTTGGGGGTTACTAAGAGGGGTTTCGCCGCGCTTGGCTCCCCCCCACCTCCTCTCCTCGTCACTCTCTCACCTTCCCCCTTTGTAAAAGGGGGTTACTACGAGGGTTACGTCACGGGTGGCTCCCCCTCAACTCCTCGTTCGTACTTCTCTCCTTTCCTCTCCTCTCTCTCTCGAGCCTCCTCCTCCTCACTTACCCCTCTGCCGTCTTCTGCTGCCCCAGGTGTACCCCTTCAGGGGGTGTTGACTGCACTAGTTATTACTGCAAGCAGGCTAAGGGGGTGTGTTAAAGTTATATTTAATATCTATCCTGCTTGCTGTAGTTATTGTAGTCTAGTTCTTTCATTCCTTGTTTGGTGGTGCACCTTCTTTGTTTCTTTGCTATATGTTCTTGCAAACCTATAGTGAAGCGCATCATTCTCGATATTCTCCTTGGCACAACTCTCTCGACTCCCGCTTGGCCTAGGCTACTAAGCCTAGGCCTACTAGTTAAACCCGTTTGCTAGTTAAGACGCTATCGTGACACGTCTTACGCCGCTAGTGTTGTTCCTGGGTCTGAGTCTGTCTGTCCTCCGTCCGTCGGGGGTGAGTGTGCTCTTGGCACGGACGTCCTTGAGGACAGGCAGGAGGACTTTGAGTGTTTTGCAGCTGCTGTACCTCATCTCGTGTCCATGCTGATTGTCAGAATCCCAACCACTAGACCATTGGGATAAAAGGGCTTGTTAAGTAGCGGGTCCGTGCGCCCATAACCCCCCAGGCCAACATGCCTGTAACCCTTCTCTAGGATCAATCGGGGATCACCAGTGGACCTCTGACACCCCCCCGCACTGGGATGCCCGAAGTGCATACACCGGGATTCGAACCCGAGACCTTCGCTCTGATACCATGTCAGAATCCCAACCACTAGACCATTGGGATAAAAGGGCTTGTTAAGTAGCGGGTCCGTGCGCCCATAACCCCCCAGGCCAACATGCCTGTAACCCTTCTCTAGGATCAATCGGGGATCACCAGTGGACCTCTGACACTGATTGCACCTGAGGGAGATCCGGATGCACCAGACATCCCGACCCCGCGCTCTTACGCAGAGGCGATTACAGGTCCCTACTCCTCTCAGTGGCAGTCAGCCATGGACGCAGAGATGGCATCTTGGAAGTCCACAGGAACTTACGTCGACGAGGTTCCCCCTCCTGGGGCGAACATAGTCGATGGCATGTGGATTTTCAGGGTGAAGCAGCCGCCGGGTTCTCCGCCTGCCTTCAAGGCTTGTTACGTTGCACGAGGCTTCAGTCAGCGACAGGGAGTTGACTTCTTCAAGACCTTCTCCCCTACCCCGAAGATGACCACTCTTCGGGTATTGCTGCACGTCGCCGCTCAGCGTGACTACGAGCTTCACTCTCTTGACTTCAGCACAGCTTTCTTACAGGGCAGCCTGCACGAGGAGATCACGCTGCGCCGCCCACTTGGCTTCACTGGGTCGTTTCTTGCAGGTACCCAGTGGAGCCTCCGTCGGCTAGTCTACGGTCTCCGCCAAGCGCCTCGTGAGTGGCACGACACACTGAGGGCGACGCTTACGGCTCTTGGGTTTGCTCCTTCGAATGCTGACTCGTCGTTGTTTCTACGCGCCGACACTTCGCTGTCGTCGTTCTATATCCTCGTGTACGTCGACGACTTGGTCTTTGCCACTGCTGACACTGAGGGACTGGCCCTAGTGAAGTCGGAGCTGCAGAAGAGACACACGTGCACAGACCTGGGTGAGCTGCACAACTATCTTGGCTTACAGATCACCCAGAACAGAGCAAGGCGCACCATTACCTTGACTCAGTCACATATGGTGCAGCAGGTCCGTCAGCGCTTCGACTTACAGTACTCCTCGCCATTGTCCACTTCTCTGCCTACCAGTGGCTCGCTCTCAGCTCCACCTTCGGACAAGTCCGGAGAGCCGAGTGGCCCGTATCTAGAGCTTGTGGGCTGCCTCATGTACCTGATGACCTGCACTCGACTTGACTTTGCCTACCCTCTTAGCATCCTAGCACGCTACGTTGCGCCCAGGAGACACCGAACAGAGAATTGAAAGGCCGCTAAGAGGGTGTTGCGCTACTTGTGCAGTACGTCGGGCATGGGGCTCGTGCTTGGAGGACAGGGTTCAGTTGTCCTCACAGGACACGCAGACGCTTCTTGGGTTGACGACTTGGCTATGCAGCGGTCGTCACAGGGTTACATTTTCAGCTTTGGCTCCGACTCTGTTTCTTGGCGGTCTACCCGCTCTTCTTCTGTTCTCAGCTCCAGTTGTGAGGCTGAGATCTACGCAGGGGCCATGGCTGCACAGGAGTTACGCTGGCTCACCTACTTGCTGACCAACTTGGGAGAGCCTCCTCGTTCTCCTCCTGTTCTATAGGTCGACAACAAGGCCATGATTGCCTTGTGTCAGGAGCACAGACTGGAGCACAGGACGAAGCACATCGCTCTGCGTTACTTCCTTCCTCGAGAGTTGCAACAGCGTGGTCAGCTTCGTCCTGCTTACGTGGCCTTTCAGGCCAACACTGCTGATATCTTCACCAAGGCACTTCAGCCTTATGATCATCAGCGTTTCTGTACTGTTCTAGGCCTTGTGCCTACTTGGCCTCACTTGCTTACTTCTTGACTTTACCTGTACAGTGATCTATATATTTATACCTGCATGCTTACACTTGGTAGGTTTTTATCACTGTACTGTTTGTTCTCCATTATATAAGTGTGCATGTAAACTGGCCTTGTGGCCATTTGCTTGTGCTCAGAGTGTATGGTGACTTCGTGATCCACCTTGAGCTTGCTTTGCTTTTCTTGACTGGTCTTGTGACCTCTTGTTCTCCCCCACTTTGCCTATGGGGGTGTGTCAAACTTATATGTTGCATGTTGTTAGGCTGTAGTGGGGTAGCCCATATGGGGTACAACCCAAATTAGGGTTAGTAAATGTACACATCCTGCTGCGAATTCATTCACCCTCGCTTTCACATTCTGACACCTTCTGCAGGCCAACTACGTTGCTCCGACAAAACAGGGACGTCACACGGGGCAGTGTTGGAAGTCGGGCGGAGGCGCAGGCGGTGGTGGAAAATCGTCGAACACGAAGTCGTCAGAGGGCGCCGACCGCGGAAGTCGGCGAAAGGCTATTATCGCGGTAGTAGTGGTTCGCGTCGAGGAGGACGCCGCTGCTACATTTGCGAAGACCCCGACCATCTCTCGTACGACTGCCCTGACCGCGATGAGTCTGACGACGATCAGAGAGGAAGCCGCGGAAAGTCTGACAGCAGCCGTCGTCGTTGAGAGAATCAGCCGCGCAAGGAAAAGCCAGCGTCATCGAAAACGCCGTCGAAATCGGAGGGAGATACCCTGAGCGGTAAGGAAGCATCTTGTTCGATGGTTGGAGTGGTTGAGCCAACTATTTCGCTGGCGCCAAAGGCTGGAGAAGACTTTCAGGCGGTCGCTGCAGCCGTGCAGGCGAATCCGATGTGAAGAAATGAGGGATGAATGAACTAGCAAGCAGGTGGGTACAAGTAGGAAAACCTAGAAGTGTTGTACCCCATATTGTCTACCCCACTACAGCCTACACAGACTATAGCATATGAGTTTGACATCCGACCGTGGTTCTCCTTGACAGCAGCTGCTCTCATCATCTGATGTGAACGCGAGAGGCCTTCGTTGACATGAAGCCTGGCGGCGAACCGTCACGTGCGCGGATTCAACGGGGCGCTTCAGAACGTCGAAGGTCGTGGCACATTTGCTCTGAAAGGGGAGACCGGAAAGCCGATTCTCATCCTCAACGTGTTGTACGTCCCGGGCGTGCATGCGAACCTGCTGACGGCTGGTTAGCTGAAGGACAACGGCGTGAAGCTGCAGGACGGGCGTGACGAGATGCTGCTCGTTTCCGCTGCAGGAGATGTGCTCAGTCGAGCACGCTATAGCGGCCGGGTCCTCTACACCGACCTCCGCCCTTGCTCCTCGAAATCGGGGGGCATCTTCGACGAAGGCAGTTGCTCTGCGAACAATCGCATCGGCGACAAAGTCAACACCGGACAAGTGGCACCCGAGGCTTGCACACGTTGGCATTGACACGATTAAGAGTTCGGCGAAGCATGGTGTTGCCATCGGTCTGGACATCAAGAAGTCAACTGGAGCCGACCTGCCGTGTGCCTCCTGTGTCGGCGGAAAGCTGGCGCGACATACTTTTCCAGAGAAGTGATCGGACGTTGAAAATGCCCTCGACGTCGTGCACATTGACCTCTGTGGCCCCTTCCGCGTGACCGCCATAGATGGGGGCCTCTATTTCCTCCTCCTTAAGGACCGCAAGACACGATTTGTGTGGGTCCGTCCGATCGCAAAAAAGAGCAACGTGCTCGTTGTTTTCAAAAAGTGGCTGAAGGAAGTGGAGCGGCAGACTTCGAAGTCGTGAAAAGGTTGCGCTCTGACCGCGGAAGGGAGATCCTTGGTTGGGCCTTCACCGATCTCATCGAGGACAAAGGTATCCTCCACAATCTCATGTGCCCCTACTCTCAGCAGCAGAATTGCATGGTGGAGCGAGAGATACGCACGGTCGTCGAATCTGTGTGGACGATGTTGCTTCACATGGGCGTGAAGCATCACTGGTGGCACCTCGCCCTTCGCCAAGCTGTCTGGGTGTGCAACTGTCTCGAACGGGCTTCCCTTCCTCCAAGGACGACGCCGTATGAGCTGCTATTCGAGAGGAAGCAGGATCTAACGCTGGCACGCGTGTGGGGCTGCATGGTGCAGTTCATGGTCCCAGAGCAGCAGCGTGGCGAAAAGTTGGCGCCGAAAGCACGCTGGGGAATTCACCTCGGTGTTTAGCCGAAGAGCAAGGGCTGGGAGGTGCTCGACCTCACCAACAACCGCGTCGTCACAACCGTGGAAGCAATCTTCTACGAGTCAATGTCTCAGGAGGAGTGGAAGGTGGAGCATGGCCGGCGTCAGCGCGGACGAAGGATTCTCCGCTGG